CGTTCACTTTCGAACTAACTCTGTGTTACAAGTGTTACAAATCATTGCGCTCGACGTATAATTGTACAATCCAAGTTATATCGTATATTATATACAGAACAATTTATTGAACCGTTGAAGCTGGATAAAGAACGCGTGATTATCTATCTACCGCAATTGGGACTTTCTTCCTTCCATTCGTTTTTCTCGCATCCTGTGATTTGTTTCTCTTTAACTTCGCGCGCGAAATTTCGATGTTTTCGCGAGCGCAAGAGAAGATCATCAAAACTCGGATCTAATTTCACCTCAATTCAACTTTTGTACGAAATTAATTTCGAGCTTTGTTATGTGCGTATCTTTTGCATCAAGACATACCTGTTGGTTCTGGAATTGAAAAATCCAGAATTGTATTCGTGTGCGCGAATGGATCAATCGTGGTAGAAAAAAAGCGAGAGGCGGCTTCGATGAGAGATCGCAGGATTTTATTTTCAGCGAGCAGGCGATAGAAATTGAGAATCTGCAGAGGGAGAATCGAAGTACTCGATATATATTACTCGTAGCCACTCATTAGTTGAAAGACGAAGAACAAAAATATGCACCAGGCAAAGTAACGAAGCTCTGATGGAAGAATCCTGGTTATCCTTTCTCAACGGCGGACTTACGCTCGGCATCCTTTTTTAAGCAATTTCGAGACTGCCGAACCCCAGAAAGACTCCATGACATCGAGCTTCTCAGATTTATAGGAAAGGTCGCAGACGCGAGGAATCGTACCGATTAGTCGTATTTAACATATAGGCGATTAAGAAGTTGACATAATTAGAACAGAACTCTATGATTGTATTCGTCCATCGTTCGTCGTATTGGTTAAAATTATCGGCGCGCGAAAATAGCGATTGCTTTTATCGAAGTTAAAATAATTTTTATGGGTTTACTAAAAAAAAAGTCTGATAATAACAATCTTAAATGAGAGTTATTAAAGCTTGGTGAAACAATTTTAATAAAATGTTTGATTAAAATAACCAAAATCAACTAAAAAAATTAACAAACCATCTTCACTTTTTTTTTCTAAATATTATCTTACTTTTATAATTATTACTAAAATAGTTAATTATTATTATTATATTTTGTATTTACTAAATATTGCATCAAACAAAATAAATTTTGCTATTAACAGACTTTTTTTCAGAGCTCTCTTTAGTTTTTTTATTCAACTATCAGAATATTAATAAGGAAAGCACGCGTGGGATATTTCTCGAGATGTTTATAATATTCTAAGAACCATAATTTTTTCCGTAGGATTTCGAGGAAAAGAGGGTTCTACTACGACAACTTTTTAATCACGATCTATTAGGATATTTCTCTCGGAATGTTCTCTCTCGCCGATTCCCTGCTTCGGGATTGAAAGAGCGACGCATTTATCTTGCACAGCATGAATTTATAATTGGGCGCAGACACTATGTAGAAAATGTTACATATACATTTCTTCGCGAAGAGTATAACGTGTTAAAATATTTTTTTAACATAGCGTCTACTCGCAAACCGCTTGCTCGCGAGGAAAGTTGAAGTCATCGTTGTTATAAAGTTCGCGATGCAATTTGGTGTCGCTCAAGTATGATTCGCAATTTTGACGCAAGAGAGATGACTCGATCATGCATCCTCTCTGTTTTGCGCGTATCGCATACACCTATATCTCCGCTAACTGCGTCTGTTTGCGCGATCGAGGGCGGCCACGTTTGGCCAACCGAAGTTCTCTCAGCTTTTCACACGAACTTAATTCTCCAGTTCTCATGTTATTTCCAAATATTTGAAAAAAATTTAACATAAAGTTTTACGAAATTTTGCATGTCTTTTCAATTTAGCGGAAATTAATTTTACTTGAAAATTTTTCTTAAAATAAGAGATAACTTAAATAATTTTTATAAAGGTAATTTTACGCCAAAAAAACAAGAGATTTAAGTAAACGCGAATAAAATGCGCAAAGAATATTTTTTGGATTTGTCATAATTATTATTTAGTGTCATTCAGTTTAGAGAGATAAGATAAGATTATTTGAACACTGCTTCTACGCATATCTTTTATCCGACTATAAAAATAGTGATGTCATATTTAATTATTTAAAGTAACACCAAAAGTAGATAATCCTTAATTGGCACGGCAGGAACACTTGATACAGCCGCAGTTTACAATTGAAACTAAAAAAAAAAAAATGAAACAAAACGAATTGGGGGTACTTATTACTACAACCAATAATGAATAAATAAAAATTGTTTATTACAAGCAACGATATTTGATAATTGATAGTGAAAGTAGAGATAAAAGAGAATGCCATACCAGTCAAGGAATATACACTATAAAAAATATGAGTGGATTTAACACCCACACCAATATGGTGTGCATCAAATATTATATGGATTTTAAGTCATGGTGCTAAATCCACATCCATGGTGTTAAATTCACACCATGTTAGTGTTTATATCAACATCAACGCGGTAAGAATTACATATAAACATGTGGTGTTAAATCCATATTCCTATTTTTTAAATTGTATTTTTCTGCGCGTCAATTCGGGGAACCAGCCCACATTAAGAATAATTTCTTTTAATGCGAAATTTCGAGGAGATATACGGCCGGCGACGGAAGGTCAGGCGGCGATATGTAATTTCGTCACACAGTAACACAATCAGTGATTTGAGATGAGATTTGCACAGCGAACGTGGCCGCCGGAATCTCTTTTTTCTCTAAAAAAGATAGCCTAACCATACGTACAACTCTTGCCGTGTACCTAAGTGCAAGAATCCACTTGTGTGTGCTGCATTGTATGTAAGTGTATCTGTACTACTACTTGTAAGTTAACAATCAAAAAATCTAGCTGCAAAATTGAAAAGCTGTATTTCCCCCCGTAATAATGCCGCGCCGCTACGCCATCGTTTCGCCGCAGAGAATTAACTACGAATCGTATGTGTTTTAAAACGTTACATCGAAAGTATTTCGGTATTGGTTACAGCCTAGAATACTGAGCAAAGAACGAATATATCAGCGATCAATGATCCATGAACGATCTCGAAGCGCCATTCCCGTGAATTCGATTCTTCTCTCCCTCTCTCTCCTTCTGTTCCTTTCTATTGCTATGAGTACATAATGTAAAAATCCAATATAAAGTCTCGTGCAGCTGAGATAAGAATAATCAATTACTACTTTTCCAATCTTTTTAATCAATTTGCGACACTAACAATTTGTGATAGAAATATAGAGACATTGCGAAAAGACAAGAAATGAAAAGGGAAAAAGAGAGAAAAAGAGATCGACGTTTATACGCGTTTAGGAGCAGTAGCGACTCGAAATGCTTCGTAAAAAATTTATAGAATATATATATATATATATATACATCCATTTTCCTTTCTGTATGTGTATATATAGACCTATTCTTTTTGACTGAACTTTTGCATCAGTTTATTCTTCTTCTTCTTCTTTCCTCCTGAAGAGAAAAGGAAGAAAGATGAACCGCAAAAGTTCAGCCAAAAAAAACAAACCTTATGTGTAGAAGTATATATTATTGCGTATAGGCATTATGCATCATCGGTGTTATTTTCTTCGTTTCCTTCTCATCACACTTGCGTTTCTTCCATTGTTATACAATAGTAATAATAATAACAATAATAATAATAAAAGGACTAATAATACTAATAATAGTAATAATACTTACAATAATAACAATTATAAGAATACGAACTTTGATAATTATCTAATATCGCCAGCGTGACACATTCTTGCTGTCGTATTTTATTTGTATAAAGAACATGACTACTTTATACGGCGGCTGAACCAAGAAGTATATCTTCATGTTCTACTTCATGTTCCTGCTTAAATTGCTAAGTGATGATATCGCAAAATTTTTTCTTGCAAGTACTGTTATCCGAACATTGTGTAACTAATGTCATTTATAAGCAAGAATAAAAAAGATGCTTTTACAAACGTTTTAATTAATCTGTCGGAAATTTAAAATGTCCACGCTTGAGAACCTTTTTTAAAGTAAAAATTCTGCGATGAACAGATTAATCATAAAATCTTACATTTTCATCTCACTTAATTCTGAGATGCCGACGGAAAATTGCAAATCGAAGGCTGCACATCTTTTGATGTACAGCATAAGGTGTCTGTTTTAACGTGTAAATATATATAAATAATTATTTGCAATCCAGTGAGTAAAATAATTGGCGTCTAATTGGCGAGATACAGTGTATTTTTTTCGTTTGCTGCTCTTCGACGCGTAAAAAATCGATCGAAAGGAACGAATATCGGATTGTTTGAATCGCTAATTCAAGAGCTCGGAAGGAATAAAAGCTCGATCCGAAGCCGAACGTTTAAAGAATCTACATCATACGACAATTTTTAACAAGCGATCATTTAATCCGAATTAGCAGAATAAGTGATCTTTGCGAGTGATCACAAGGCAGCATTTAGAGCATGTACAATTGGAGGAAGTATATGTATGTCATTTTATAATTTGGTGAACATTTTTTTTAGAATTCTTCATATAATTTTTCAGAATTTTTATATGAATTTCTGTATAATTATCTTTTAGACAATTTTTCAAATTTTCTGTATGAATTGAAACACATTTCTAAAGTGTTGTGCAAGTTACATCTTTTCTAAAACTTTTCATTTATGAAAATTTTAAAATAGTTTAAGATTTTTAAGATTTATCATTCTATAATTTCTAAAGAAAAATTTATAGAATCTGAAAAAGTTTAAGGTATTTAAATTATTTTTTCAACAAATCTTCATAAATGTAAATATTACAAATTCTTAAAAATATTATGAGATAATGTAAAAATTTTTTCAACAGAATTAAAAAAAAATTAAAAATTCCGAACTTCTTCAATTTGATATTTAATTAATTATATTACTGTATGAAATTCTTTGTTAGATTGTTTTATAATTCACATTTCCAAAAGTAGACATAATACAAATATATATATATATATATATATATATATATATATATATATATATATTTTTATTCTAATTCGGATAAAAAAATTTAAAAAAATTATTTCAACATACAGACAGCTTTTACACCAACTTATTATTATGTTTTTGGACTTTGGTGCTCCCTTCAACAGTACGCGCTCCTAAGTTTGCCTATGAATGTCTTGTTACATTCTTTACAATTCAGCTGCGAAGTTTCGAGGCTAAACGTGACTATGATATCAATCGGATTAAGAACGAGATTTCGTACGAAAGGAACCTCGGTCGCGCTCTTCCATCGCACTCGCATATTGCAGCTCTCTATTTCTCGTTGATCATCAGGACAAATTGATCCTTACGGTGATGTCATGGCTCCTAGCCAAAGACATAGAGAATAGACTGTGCGATCTCTGTGTCAAAATGGTCGATAAAAGTAAAAGAGAGAGAGAGATCATGGAAGACGACCATCTCTATCTCTTTCCATTCAATTGTGTAATGGGAGAGAGAATGAAAGGGAGATCCATCTTCCACGATCCCTCTCTTTCATTATTGTCAACCACATTTGAATACTACTTAAATACGGATCGCGCAGTCCATTCTCTATGTCTTTACTCCTAGCTAACAGGACGATCTCTCCCGCGCGTGTTTTCCCTTAACTACCATGATCTTGATCAAGTTCATCCAGCGACTCGAGCCTCGCGATCGGCGCCTCGTTTATCGTAAACTCCCATGACATATCTTCGCTGGTCTGTCTCGAAGAGTCTTGTTGTCGGGACCCGCTCGTCTGTCCCCTACTATTCTCATGTCTGCTCTCGGATCGACCCTGTTGCCCCGATGTGGACTCCGCGCCGCCACGATGATTCGACGAGTCCTTGCGCGAGTCTCCGCTGCGTGGACGTTGAGCGCTGCTCCGGTCCTCCGGTACCACACAGCTCCAGGAATCTTCACCCTCTGGCTCCGATCGCTTATTGAACGAGCTGTATCTACCGCAAGGCACGCTTTGATCAACGACGTGATAGCGCGGCGTTCTGCTAGGCGTTGAATACGGCTACTAAACATGAATGACCGGCATCCATGTTTAGCAACCGCCACTAGCAGTGACACATTTTCCAGTCTAAGATTTTTTAATGAAGTTGGAACAAATAACAAGTAGCTAATTACTGCTGAATAGCGAAAATGCGTCACTGCCAGTTTTGCCAATCTCCAATACAAGATGATTAAAAATCATTAATCGTTTACATTAGCATTTTTCAACTTTTTTCAATTCGTGGCACATTAAATAAATAACAAGTTAAATTTTTCAAGATATGTCATTAGGTGCACACGCTTCAAGTATTCAGCATAAGTCTTTTAGATTATATTTATTACAATTAACACGACGTTCAGAAATAAATAGTAAAATAATTCTAAAGTTTTAGTTTTTATTCTTTTAAAAGCGATATTATAGTAATAATACTTTGATTAAAATGAGAATAAACATAATTTAGATAATTTTCATAATTTTAAAAATATTGTTTATTTTGCATCTTATTAATTTTTTTATAAGATATGTTAAGACGTATCGTGTTGCTTGTAACAAAAATGGAATCGCGTAATATCGTACAGCGATCTTATATTATGTTCTAAAACATAAAACTTCAGCAAACTTTTTTGCTGTAGTATATTCGTCAAGTTTCACATAAAAAAACGCATAATTGTAGTGCGATATCATACAATTCCATTTTCGTTATAAGCAACGTATATCTTATAATTTTAAGCTGCTCCAAATTGAAAGAATGTAGAGCCTCATCAATTGGAGTTGAAATAAGAAAAGGACAAAGTAAAAAATGATCAGTGGTTGAATGATCAGCTACAGATTGTGCAGGGTTGCTAACATAAAAAGAATTGCGAATAAGATTCGAAGTAATATAAAATATTTTAAAAATTATGGAAATTATCTAAATTATATTGTGTGTGTACTCTTATTTTAACTAGTGATATTGCTATTGCAATAAAATTATATTTAAAAGAATAAAATAAGAACTAAAACTTTAGAATTTTACTGTAAGAGGTCTGTCCTAAAAGTATTAAACCTCTGCGTATATCTTTTTCCTTGTTCTCTCTCTATTGTGGAAAACAGATATTCAGTATTTAGGGAGATCTTATCTTGAGGTACCTTCACCAAGGGCCATGACCAAACAACTGTTCAGTCGACAATGATACGCAGTTGTACGTCGAAAACTCCGCATTGCATTTCACAATGACCGAGCGAATCGGGCAGAGAATTTGCATTAAATTTTTTTTACTAAACACGTCCAACTTCACTAATCCTTGTAAAGTTCAGATATAGTCCAGCGTAACTTCTGGTTATTTCCTAAATTAAAAAATTCGATATTGAAAAATAAATCTAAACGCGAGGAAGCTGTTGGCTATTACAAAAAATAATTTCCAGAAGTGGCTGGATCGCTAGAAGAAGATCATTGTTTCGAAAGGATTACATTAAAGGCGATATAGATCATATTACTCTGGAAAAGCTTTCTCATGTAGGCAGAGATCGAATATTTTTGGGACCTCGAATTTATTTCTGAATATCGTGTTAATAGTAAATAATCAATCTCGTTACTTTATTGCCGACCATATATTTATATTTTTTCACTTCCTTTCTTCAAAATTTTTCTGGCATACTTGATTGAAGATTTTTTGCGGCACACTTGATTGGAGACTTTTTGTGGCACATTGATTGAAAAATCCTAATTTAGATCAATTTTCTATACTAATACTAGATCAACAATTTCTCGAAATTGATTTATAATACAGAAATAACTAACTTTATCTCTATTTATACAACATTTCTTTTAAAGTAATTCCTTTGTGCACTACACCAATTTTTTCACGTTGAGAAGCATTCCTGAAAACCATTTTTTGATAGGTCTTTTAGTCCTTTCAGTTCCTCATCACATTTTCAGTGATTCCTTTGTTCTGAAGAGACGCTTTGTGCGTATATGCGCACAAATCGTCTCTTCAGAACTTTTTTTAAGTGCAAAAACAGGAAAAAGTTAAACGATGTTAAGGTCAGAGAATGGTTGGCGGATGCTCCAGTTATATGCTTAGCAAGTATTAGCGTACTGCTCAACATAAAAAATTTATATGCTTTAGATAAACTTTTTGCACAGATCAATTTTTTTTTCTTTCTCAACAATCAATGTGAAAAGAAAAAGAGGAAAGATGAATGCAAAAAAATTCAAATAAAAAAAAGAACAGGATTATAGATCGGTATTCATAGTCGATTCTTATATTCAAGATCGTCTTAAGTATAGTCATAAGATGCCATGAATCAATCAGAAAGCCATATTAGTATCTTAAGACATTTCTTAAGACTGTTTTAAAATAAAAACCGATTATAAATAGCGATTCTAGTGACCGATGTTATCATGTGTAAATTATGTAGAAATTAGAAGAAATTAACTGTTAGAAGAAATTAGCTGTTTCAGGCTTATTTTTATGATGTTTTCTCTGCATTTTTCTTCATAACGGAGGATTTCGATGTATATGAAAGAATAATAATTCGCGAGCGCTGAGGAAGTCATATTGCAAACGCGATAACAGCGTTGAAAGAGCTGGAGATTGAAAACTGGAATATTTCCAGGAATACTTCTAAACTCTTTACAAACGTAGGCTCTAAAGGAACTACTTTGAAAGAATAGTGCAAATAAAGATAAGTTTATTTCTGTGTTATAAATCAATTTCGGGAATTTTTTAAACTTACTAGTACAAGATAAATTAAAATCCAGGCGAGTCTCCGGTATAAAAAATAGAAAATTGTCTAGGTCTTTGTACCACGTTAAAAATCTCTAATCTCTAAAATTTTTAGAGTGAATCTCAGTCTGAACAGTTAAACGTCACTTTTAAAAATTAAAAATTGAACCACACTTTTTCAAGACTGGCTCAATTTTTACTCTTCAAAGTGAGATTCCATTCAAAGAATTTAGAGAGTGCAATACTTTTTACTAAATTACCTACCCACTCCGGTATTCGCCCCTCCTAAAAGCAGCAGGTTGGCTGTGCCAGGCGTGAGCCTGATGGGCCTGTTGCTGCGTGCTAGTCGGTATCGCTAGGTCAACCGGCTGGCTATGCGACCTCGTGGGTCCGGGCCGACCATTCAGTGCCGTTTGTAACGCCGTCGCGAGTGCAGATGTGTCCGATGTAACGGTCAGCCGCGATGTTCCCGACGATGTGGAGGTCGGATCTCTCATGGGAGCTCTATTACAGAGAAGAACGAAGCTCGTATTAATGAGTCGACAAGCAGGCTAATTTTGTTTTCATAAGAGAATCGCTAAAGATAGTCGAGCGAGATATATACTTAAAGCGTACGTGATTATGTACAGTGGGATATTCGAGACAAGCCTCTAATCTTCTAAGTTTGATCCCGAGCAGTGTCACGGATCCCGCGCGTTTGGAATTACCGGCCGCGCAGTGGGATCGATCATTGACGTCGACTATAATCGATGAAAATTATAAATGAAGAACGATGAGAATAATCTATCTAAACGTGCATGGAAAATGATTTATCCTACCAAGAGATCGGTTCCGTCAACGTCGGTCGATTTCAATCAGAGTTCAATTGATTGCTTCAAAAAAGATAAAAGGAATCAATTAAGATTAAAGTGAACCGAGATTGACGAAATTGCCGAAGTGTTTTTCTTCTATAGAAGTAAAAGAACTAGTCAAATTAATTAGAGACTAATCGGACGTGTGAAGAAAAATACATATCAGCGAGATCAGATAGAAGAAATAAGAAAAGAAGTACGTGCATGTTAGAGAAAAAATATCTTCTAATGAAAAATTATTCTTATTTTAACGCAAATGCTTTTTACTTTTCTCACATTTCTATAGATATTCTTTCTAAATACTGAATGGGCTACGTGAATTGATAAGCTTTCGAGGCGTGCGACGTTAGAGATGATAGTCTACAGAAAGAGAGTGTCAAAAGTATGATACAATTCTAAAGATTATAGAATCTTAGAGTAGTGGCACATCGCCTCTAGAAAAAAATTCTATTTGTTTTAAACTAATTAAATGCTTTATATGAAATTGCAGTTTAATAACACGATCCAATTGTTAATTATGATTATGCTTGTGATCGCGAAGGAAAAATTTAGAATCTTCGTGATGAATATATATGTTAACGTCGCGTGTCGTTCGCTTAGACTCGATTTCCGTGACACTGCTCACAAAAGAGTTCAAAGAAGAATACGTGATAGTGGTCACCTTCGGAACTTGTCCAACTTTTCCAAAATAAAAGACGCCGAAATCAAATGCAACTGATCCAGGGATTTCGAAAGAAGGCTTTTTAAGAATAACAAAATATCGATTACTTCTTGCGGGTCAGATTTCAGTTTCGGAATCTACCGCGTCGTGGAGCATCGCAAATCCTCTCTACCGCAAGATTGTTGCTGTCGCACACGACAGTTGCACGCGAGACTAATTTTAATAATAAAATTCAACGCACGAGAGAGGTACGTGATTTGAATAATCGCAGCGTTGACTATTATAAAGTACCCTTAATATATTGCATTTTCTTAGAAAAGGTGGATAATAGAAAAACATTAACAAAACATTAACATTTTTATAAAAATAAATATTATTTCTCAATAAAATTGTTTTAATATATTTTTCCTTAATAAAATATTTACGCAAAGGTGTGAGGGTGCTTTATGACCAAAGCTGTAGAATCACGGGGAATTTAATTCGCGGAATCTCATTTACTTCGTTTTTACCTGAACAAGCCATGTGATGTGCTAGGTTGAATCTTTCCACTTCCGTTGCTCGCTGGAATCGTCGGTGGCTGCGGCTCACTTGCCGATCTTTGAACCAACGCGGGTGCACGATTGCTCTGTCTCGCACCAGTTGGCGCAGTTCCCGGCATCATTTCGATGCTAGAGCTCTCTCTCGACGAGTTGAGAGTTTGCTGAAGTAAACTCAAGATCAATCTGATATCGCCGGCCATTGAGTGTTCCAACGAAGACACCTGCCGCGACAATTGGTCGATCCTGGCATTGAGCTCCTCCACGGGCCGACCCGGGCCACTTTGAAAGTCGCCTGGAAGAATCGAATGTCTTCATCTCACGACAACTCGACTTGATCGCAATCAACACAGCTCATAGAGTATCTCGCAATAATTCAACATTTCATAGTGCAATTACCGATATACCTGATTTTTGATAATGAATGATTTTTAATATGATGATAGCATAAGATGGCGGAATTTCATATCAATTAACGTGAGTGAGACAAATGCTCTAAAATATGGGTTAGATATAATTTTACTATGTTAAATGCTGATGTAAACATCAATGATGTGAATGTAAAATCATGCATTTTTTATATAATTTTTACCGTATTTATTGTTGACCTGATATCTTGATGGAAATTTTTTTCTAAATTATGACGAATAATGATAAAACATTATTGAAATTATAATGAAAAGTGATGAAATATTACCGAAATTTACTGAATTTTATATTAAAATTTCAAATAACTCACTTTCAGTATTATTTCATTAAAATTTCATTAACAACCTGAATCGTAAAGATTACAGTGGAAATCATTGAACACGAGGACTGTAATGATGAATTATTCAGCAAAATTCATTAAAATTCAATATTTTCCATAAAAATTTAGTATTACAGGTAAGTGAATTATAATGAAAGTAGTCCAAATCGCAATCTTAAAATTAGAAAAAAATAAATGATTTAATACACTTTAAGAAATTTAAAAAATCATTTACATTTCATATCATTTTCATATATACATTTTTTTTACCTTTATTACACATTGATTTGATATATTTTTAAATTCAATAATCAGTATTTATTCATTTATATTATATATAATTTAATTTCTTTTTATAGAAAGAAAATAGTACTTTAATATTTCTTTGCTTTCATAATTAATATATATTAATATATTATTATACCAACAGAATATTTTAACAATTTTTTAACTATTATACGAATTCAAACCTTTTCGTTACAATATTTCAGCAAATTTTATTACATTTCAGCAAATTTCATTACAACCTTTCAACTATTAATTCTAATATTTTAATTATTCTGTTTCCGTTTTTGGTAACTTTCATTGATAAATTTGTAAAAATATTAATATTCTTGAGACTTCTTGGGTGCTTTCTATATAAAGATTATGCGTTTCGCGGGTTTCTTTCGTGTCCAGATCCATTCTTGGAATGCCAACGTTTCGTGAACCTTGCAGTCCACTTCATCAGGGCGAGGAGCAACATGATATTAAATATGAATGAAGTGGACCCGCGAAATGCATAATCTTTATTTGTAAAGATATTGTATATTTCGTTCCGATTTCATTATTTTTCAGATTTTTCATTAATTTTCCTCAAGAGTCATAGAGTATTTCAACATATTTCAGTGTACAATAAATTGTAGAAATATTATATCTTGCATTATTTTTCATTTTCTTTCATGCATTATAAGATATTTTCATTAATTAATTGTTTTCAAAATTCATAGTACTTCAGCTTATTTAAGTATACAATACAAGTGGAAATATTACATGTCTTGCATTATTTTTCATCCTTATTCAATAAATATCTTCAGAATTTATAATATTTCGATGTAATTCAATTCATCATATTTCAGCAAATTTCATTATCATCCTTCAACTACTAATTTCAATATTTTAACTATCCTATTTCCGTTTTCGGTAACTTTTATAGACAAATCTATAAAAATATTGTGTATTTCGTTCCCATTTCATTACTTTTTAGATATTTTCATTAATTTTCAAAATTCATATTTTTCAGCATATTTCAGTATATAATAAATAATAAAACTATTACATGTCTTGCATTATTTTCCATTTTTTTCATGCATTTTCAGTAATTATCTTCAGGATTCATGGTATTTTAATATAATTCAGTGTTCAATATCTCCGAATAAATTAGTATGAATATTATAATAAATATTTTTCATTATAATAGTTTTTGGTATTTTTCATTAATCTTCATCAATTTTCATTAATTATCGTTCAAATTCATAGTGTTTCAATATTAAAAATATTATTCATGATGAAAGAATTTCAATCATTTTCATTTCTTATTTCAATAATTTCATTGTCGAATCCAACAATTTATCGATTTTTTTCCATCAGGGTATAAACATCAACATATGTGAATTTAACACCATAAATTTTATAAATCGTGATGTTAAATCCACACCCATTGCGTTACGCAACACAGTGAGAATTATATAAACACTGTATGATGTTAAATTCACACACGTACTTTTTAGAATAAAAGCGAAAAGTGACGGAGGTCGCGGTAAATACTGATAATGAGATTAAAAGAAATGAGGCCCCTACCATGAGAATGAGGATGCTGCGGGGGCGATGGTGTGGTGTAGTGGCTTGACGTTGTCGAAGTGGGATGAACGACGTTTTGACTGAGGCAACTCTCGCCGGCAGCGGAACTCCGGCGCGCTGGGGTGGCTTTCGTCGGTGGCGTGGTCACTAGGTTTTAAACGCCACCGGTGAGTACCACGAGTACGGGCGGTACATTACATAAATTGGGTGCTACTATTGCATACGCATGTGCAATTGCGCTGCGATATACTCTCTACTACGGCGTATGTCGCGGTTAAAAATTAATACAGATGAAACGACAGTCGTACGTTCTCTTCGGGATTCTGGCGAGTGGTGTAGCAAAAATACGACAAGTCGGGGATGACTTTAGATGCAACGAGCTCAGGCCAATCTACTTCAGAATATTCCGAATGTACAGAGTACTTACTTTGTTTCGCAAGGTAATCGTGACTGGTAAGCGGCTGCAGATGAATCTTGTGCTGACGTAGATCCGGTATACTGCGCTTGAGATGGGTTAGCATGCCTGAACAACCAGGTTTCAAGGTGTTATCGAACTTGGGACTCAAACAAGAAGCAATACGCTTAGAAGAGGAGAGAAATAAAAGAGAGATAGAGCTGGATGGAAGGAAAGAGGGAAATCATCGTAATAAACGTTAAATAGATCGAAATAATTTATACATAACGAACTACATCGAGCTAGAGGCAAAATACATTTTAAGAAGCCTACAAAAAAGATAAAATGCTTTTGAAATTATTACAAATTGTAAGTGGATCTTAAATACATAGTTGATTCTGAGATCCAGTTTATGTTGCGCATTTAGCGCTAAATACATAGCCTTGGTTAAAAGTATAAAGCATTCCTACAAATTGACGTAAGTGTTCTATATTTAATGAAAAATAGATTAAAAATAATTTTATTGAGAAATATTTATTTTTACAACAAGTTTAACATTTCGTAATTTTTTTTTTATTTTATTGTTGTCTTTTCTAAGAAAATGCAATAAACTGAGTGCTCTATACTTATGACCAAAGCTATATAAACTTCCATCTATTCATTAAAATTTTCTTGTGAAACGAATAAAACTTAAGATCAGATGAATTTAGCGCTATTGTTTGCATTTATGGATATATTTAGCGTTAAATGCGAAACGTTAATGCGGGCACAAATGTTTGTGGTCAATCTTTACAAGGAATCTTGCTGTTAATTAATGAACAAAGATCAAAAACATTCAAAGTGAAAAATCTTGAGTCGATTATATTAAAAGGAAATACCCTGCTGTAGAGGATCTATGTATCATATAGGAGAGAGTGGCCTAAATCGGACCGTATTCTAAATAAGAACAGTTAAACAGATTAGCGTACTATTTATAATGTAAAATCCTTATAAGACACCGAAAATGTGACAGCAGTTTGACAGTTCTCTGTTATAACATTCAAAAAATAGACGCAAATATGTATTTTCAGCCATCGTGCGAAAATTTTTTTAAAAAAGAAAATCCTTGTAAATTATTTAAAAGGAAGGGTGTCGATAAGGTTTTTTGGACGACGTCAGCATCATTTTAAACTGTGTTATTTTATTTCTCTCGGTGGAACTTACCCCCGTTTGTTGTTCACGCAATTAAATGCTGAAAATGAGGCACTTTTACATTCGCAGATTTATATGGGATATCACAGTTACAATTTCTGTTTCATTTGATTAATACAGAACTCGATTTCAATGTGGTAAAGGGATAAAATAACCGCTTTGACATATCTTATGCACTATATATACGAGTAGTTTTGAGAAAGTATGGTAATGGAAGCTCATTGATAATAGGGTGAAATGAAACAGACACTGTAACTGTGTGTGATATCCCATGTAAATCTGTGATAAGAGTGCCACCCTCATTATCAGCATTTAATTGCATGGACAACGGTTCTAGTGGGTTGTGAGTTCGAGAGGAATAAAATAGCACAGTTTGAAATGATTCTGACGTAGTCCAAGAATGGCCTTATTGATATCCTTCTTTTAAAAGGTAATTGATTTAAGATAATTAAAGAGTGTAGAATTCAAAAATATCAATCGTTTTGTGATCACTTTTACAGTTTATTGTAAAATTTGTTCCAAAATTCGAAAGGACCCGTGTCTAAATCAGACCTACAGTACAGTAGATAACTTATAAGCCCGGTTGTCGGCCGATCAGATCTGGTCCAAAGAATTAAATCAGTAAAATATTATGAGTCATTAGATTCAGATTAATTGAGTTTTATTGATTTCAATTCAAATAAAAATATTGTCAATTCTAATAAAAATTGTCAATAATTCTTTTTCTGAATAAAATTTTTATCTTTGACTATCAAATTGCTCGTTTTTACTCGTAATACTAACAAAAATACATTAAAAGTTAATAGTTTAAAATTCTATCTAAAAGTCTATAAAAATAGGAGTGTCCGATTTGGACCAGGGGATGGTCCGATTTGGAACCAATAGTTCCAAATCGGTTCGGAAAAAGCGTTTTTACATTTTCCATTATAGTTCAACATAGGTGAAAGATACGTCAAAATGTCTCAAGCAAAAAAATAAAGGGAATTAAATGATCTTTCCAACGGCACCTTCTGTTTTACGATCGGACTTTATTTACGATTTACAGAGAGAGCAAAAACTGCAAATAGGTCCGACTTACCCCACTCTTCCCTATCATGCAATAAATAACATTCCTCAAACAGAATAGAAGCAAACACGAGAGAAATGGGAACATTATTTTCTCGAAACGAGACCGAACAAAAGAAATAATGATTGCTCACCAGTTATCGAGTTTAAAGTCGAGCTTCTCTGTTTGGGCTCGTCGAATTCTAAATTCAATGGTGTCACGTCTTGACCCGCCTTGTCCGTGCTAAACTCTAAGATACCATGACCGCTACCTTTATCGCTGCAACAGATAGAAAAGTAGCTGATCAATTATTCTGTCATTTTTGGCAGTAGTTAATCTATAAGCTTTTGGGATTTAATTCTAAGACACCTACGTGCCGGGGAACTTGGAAACGCCACAATTTAAAAAATTAGAAAAAAAAGAAGTTATTTAAATTAGCGCATATTATTAGCGCGTAATTTTTTACAATTTTGTAAAAAATTATTAAATAATCGATAAATAGCGACTGTCATTAACAATATACGCATCGGGGGGGAGGGGGGGAAGGGGGGTATGAACTTTTTTGTAATAATGTTACAATTTTTTATAACGATAATAATAATGTTGGGAAAATCGCTTTTAAAAAATGTTAACTTGTTACTTTTATGCGATACTTTACGTGATTTCTCTGACTCTGATACAAAAAAGAAATTGATAAACTTTCATTTTCGTGATTGTGCCCATTTTATGTTTAATATAAAAGTATGTATAAATAATATAAATAATAATAAATTGTATATATAAATAATAATAAAATTAGAAACAAAACCATGAAATGAATACAATGTAATACGAGAAGTACCACTTACAGTCAAACTTTCTTAAGAAAAAAAATCATTGATCAAATATCGTAATCCATGTATCTAAAAAAATCACAATGTTTCCTCAAGTGGTCCCCCTTCTAATATCATTTAACTTTTGTTATTATCATCCGCGATCATTTTCCAAGCTAATAATATATAAATTTTCAGCTAGCAATTGCTTTCTGCGAGTGATTACCCAACCATCCTGCAACCACGCCCAATGTTGCTTAGTCTTTAAGATCGTATGTACATGACAATTCGTGATGATCCCTGAATATTTCTCGTTTATAGAAACGTAATTATGCTAGATTCAATAGATGTTGTCAAATAGAAATGTACAGTTAAAATATATTTTTTTATAAAAATAAAATTATAGTTCTTCCATACTCATTTTTACGTATACGCGGCGAGACGTTACAGTTTAAAGATTAATGTATTCGTGGATATGTAATCTTCCTATTATATAATAGTAATTTACTCACTGTAATTTTTGTATTATATTATAATAATTATAGGCGTAATTCTACTACAAAAATTTACTGATTGCAATATTTGTATCACTCTAACTACATGCATGTGATCCGTTGTGTGTAGTAATTTCGCGCGAGATTATAGTAATCGTACGGATTACAATATCTGGTCAGTAATTTTTCTGATGTTAAACTAATACATATATGTATTTAAATGAATTTATCTCAGAAATATATCTCGGCCAAAGTAATTTATTAATTGAGAAAATTGATGCGATAAAAGGTGATGTCTTACTAATCATCCTGGTCGTCCTGCAAGGAGTCTTGTCGACATGTGGGAATAAGATTTGTGCCAGGACCACCAGGTCCTCGACGGTATCTTGGTGGACGGAAAGCGAATCTCCTGGCGTCGATGTCGACGTCGGTCGGAGTACTTACAGGAAATCTTGCTGATATTGGGTCGACACCAGCCTGTTCTTCCTGAAAATGAAGAGATCGTATGTCCGATATAAATTGCCGTATGCAATGGTTAAATAATAATTATATATAATTACAACAAAAATATAATATTAAAATTGTAAAATCTAATGTGATAGATTTAAAAATGTTTCTGTATAAAGGAAAATACAATTTTTTTTGTAGCTATTTGGAGATCGTTTTCTTCTACATCTTTTTACGCATTTTTCTTCGTGGAAAATTATTGTAATAATGACGCTATAGAAAAAGCTATTCAAGAAAAAATGTACATTGAAATAAAGAATGAAATTCTTATTCATCGTTACGAAATTGATGTCAATTATGCTTCAATTATGTTTAAAAACTAATCCAGAATTGTTCATTCGATATTTCAATGTATCAATTTTTCCTTAATTGTAAACGTAGCATCATTATTATAATTTTCGTATCCTATGAAGAAAAATACAGAAGAAAATGTAGAAATAAAACGATTCCCAACGAAACGCGAAAAGGTGAAAGTTGTATTTTTCTTTTGTCATAATAATAAAAGTAAGAGAGAGAGAGAGAGAGAGAGGAAGAATTGAATTTATATTAAAATTAAAAAATTGTGCGCAAAGAAAGTCAGAAATAGTACTCACGTCTCGCATGATAAAAGTAATCTCAAGATTCTGGCTGAAATGGTTGGAGAATTCCGGATAAAGAGCTAAGACGTCGAGCAAGTCATCCCGATGGATCTTGTGAAGGTCGCAATATGTAAGGGCGCGAACGTTACAAGACGACTTTCCGACCGTCGGATAAATGCACGGATTCTCGCCGAAAATGTCATCCTTGCCCAAAATGGCCATCACGACGTCCTCCTTCAGAATCTCGATACTGCCACGGGATATAAAATACAGGGAAGTCAGCACATCCCCTCGATGAACTAAAGTGTCACCCGGAGGCGCGTGTGTCGTCTTAAACTTTAAGGATAATGCCCTGTTTTGCAAAAGAAACAAGAAAATTTCTTATCTTTTTGAATTAATTATACAATATAAAAGATAATTATTTCTATATACAAAAAGCAATAAAAATGTTGTCAATACTTTTGAGGCTTCCACACAGATATTTTCTTCAATAAAGCTATATGTGCGGATTATCCCTATGTTTTTATGCATTGTTAAATTTCATGAATATTGAAATTCATTTTATTGTATCAAGCAATCTGATTAGCTTCTTTAGATAAAATACAATATTATTATTTTTGCACGAGCTTAAGGGGATATTCTACATTGAAAAAGATTATATAAATTATATAATTTTCAAGAATTATTTTTAAAAAGAAATAGGTTACTACACATTATTATGAAACTTTCGTAGACTTCAGGATCATGCGTTGGATAACATTTGTCAAGATCAAAGCTATTGGAGGTTATACCTCTTATTTTCATTTACGTAAAAATATATTTTTAGTGCAAAAATGAAAATAAGAGGAATAATCTTTAATAGCTTTGATTTTGACAAATATTATCCAGGACATGATCCTGAACAACATTCAAAAGGTTTTAGCAGGTCGGTCGGACATCTTGCGTAATGCTAATGCCGGCGGTACTGTAACTTTCAAGCCTTATAATTCGAAAAGTGTTCAATAAAAAATAACTTTATTATAGTACTTTGAAAAGATTTCGACATCAGCTATTAGATACTGGAATAAAAAGTTAGGTGTTCCATTTAAAAAAATCGACATGACCTTGACCTGAACGACGCCATCTAAAGTCAAACTGATAAGATCAGTAAATAGATCTTTTTAAACTCTACAACTTTTGTTTGATTATTTTTACGATTGGATCTTATCCTGCGAAGATAAGTGGTGTACGGGTGATCTGAAACATTCGTATAATTTGATTTTTAATTTGTTTTGCCTTTTTTATGATATTATATGGATACAAACAAAGATTTTTAAATACTTATTTTGTACGTAAATAAAATCTAAGAAAGTTTCATATTAATATATTAACTTATTTCATTTTAAGAAATTCGTATAATTTTTTATTATAGTTTTCTATAAACTAGAATACCCCCTTAAAATAATCCCATCAGATTTTCCTATTTTCGGTGCAAATTAGGGGGGGTGCCAGTTATTATTTAACTACCTTAAACAGCCTTGACTGGCCCCCTCGAAGGCTCGGCAATTGCTTAAAAGATTTCTATTGAGATGAAGACAGATGTCGGCCTGAAGGCACTCGGGGAACCCTTTCAGAACACTGTTCATATCAATTCCATTCGTATAGGTCCACGCGTGTTGAAAGTACTCCTCCAATCGTTGGCGGAGCGGGTTCGGGATTTGGTGGAACCTTATGAATTCCCTGACCCTGAGCATCTGTGTGTGATACCGGGCGGTACCGCTGTATAGCCTCTGGATGATCGCCGATACGTTACCGAAGATACTAGCATACATCAGAGCTAAAATCGATGTATCATAAAATAAACCGTATGTGTATCCGATATATCTAACGATGGACTAAGATACTTTAATTTCTAGGAAAAAATCAATGGTAGCATTATTTATTCAAAATTCTATTAAAATCTGAAAATGTAGAATATTATAAAAAAACGTTTCCTTATCACTTTGCTATAAAATATTTATTATTCTAATATTATTATATATTTACTTTTATTATGTTAGGTCGAGAAATCAGGAGAAGTAAAATGGATTTATTTATTCACACTCACATACAATACATGTTAGCAAAATACAGATTGTAGTTAAAATAAGATAACTTCGTGATCAAGTTTCTTATGCTTCCACCAAAAAAAATTTCATATGTCTGCAAATCCATTGTTACTAAAATATAACTTAAAATGTTTGTAGATTTAGTTGCATGACTCTCATAATCGCCCGATTTAAATTCTCTAGATTTTTATTTGTGGGACATTTAAAGACCTTTTTATGAAATTCTAATCGCCAATGAAGATATGCTACGCCAACGCATTTTTGATGCTTGTGGCAGTATTCACAATTGCCTCCAGATTTTTAAAAGGGTGCGACGGTCCATGATCCGATATGTCCAAACGTGTATTGAATCAAATGAGAGACACTTCGAACATTTATTATAATTGAAAATTGAAAATAAGTAATATTACATATTAATAAATATCACTTTTTTTATTTTCTCTTATTAATAAACATTTTGAATATCTCACAATTAGTAACAGTGAATTTGCGGACATATGTCCATATGAACTTCTTTTCATGTTTTGGTTTGGAGTTCGGCCTCAAAATTTGTTACCTTGTTTTAATTACACCTTATATATATGTGTATTTCTTAATGTAATCGCCCAGTTATGTAATATTTTGTACATTCACATTTCTTTTGATTTCGTCTGCGAAATTTTTAGTTGCCACGTAGAAGAAACTAGCACCGGTTGTCCTAAGAGGATTTGATTGTCAAAATGCTTACTCGATCAATGATATAAAAATCTTCTTTTTTTTACTTTATTTTAGATTGCTGATATAATATTAAATATTAATATATTGTATAAAAGGTTTTGTATCAAAAGCATTGTATATATATTATTGTATCTAGAACGATTTTTAAGAAAATGAAATCATAGTGAATAAATTTTTGTCATTTCCTATGTTTATGTTTGATAAGATTTTAGTATTATCAATTTCAATTTCTTTATAATCATAGAAAATGATATATTTTTAAAAAATTTTTGCTTTCACATCATTATTGTGAATAATAAAGCTTAATTAGCAAAACGTCCATTGGACGATTATATGATTGTTCAAAATAAGCTGAGATCGTAGTATTAATTAAAATTAAATAATTTATTACGATGATGTATTCAAAAGCAATATTTTTTTTAATACCTAAGACATATAGGTATGTTACAACATATATAGTGTTTTAAAATTTTACATCGTATATAGTGTTTTAAAATTTTACTCTTTTCTAAAATTAATTATTCAAAAACTGTGACAACCGGCATCGGTCTCTCTTATACCGCTTCCTAAATTTTACTGGTAAGATATTGAAATTTATTACTGACGTACTATTGATCATGAAACATTTTCTTCAATGAACCAAATAAATAGAAATCAGAGATAGTAAGATCAAGATTAAAAGCTAATGTTGACAGAAGTTTAAATTTCAGCTATTTTAGAAGCGGGTAACGTTGAAGTCACTGATTTTAATCAAACTTGGTAAGGATATAGTGCATCCCCGACGTATGCCAAGCAGTAAAGACTACACAGAGAGAAAATAACTAAATTTAATAAATATTTATTTGAATAGTACCAACTAAACATTTACTTACAGTAAATAAGTACTTAATAAATACTCACACAATAAAAAAAATGACATTTTAAATAAAATTAATGATTTTTGTTTCAAATAAATATATATTTATATTTAGTAAGTATTTAGTTAATACTATTCAAATAAACGATTTATTAAAAATTAGCATATTTTTTAATACACAAAATACATAAGCATAGCATAGCTAGCAGATCTTATGAACCAATAAACGTATTATGTAAATCAAAAGATTTGTAAAACGTAAACAAAATGTGTAACGTTAAGCTGAGCGATTGAGAAATGTTGTATATATTTTGCTAATATATACTATACATGAAAAATAAATAATTCACTTTACATTCTGATTTTTCGTCGTAATTCAATTAGTATGCATAATTATTACATTTCTTTAATATTATTATTTGTAATAAGAAGACTAAATATGTGTGCCTAAGGATATAGATCCGTCAATATTCATTGACTCACATCCGATCAACATGACGATTATTGTAAAGATTTTTTCGGCATCGGTATTCGGTGCTACATTCCCGAAGCCTACGGACGTAAGACTGCTGAAGGTGAAATAAAGCGCCGTGATATAACGACTCTGGAAAAATTACAAAATTATATGTTGGGTAAAAGGATACCGCCATTAAGGACTGCGATCTCAAATAGAGCGTACTCGAAAGGTACTCGCGCGGATGGCTTACTTTTATGCTCGGCCCGCCGGTGTTATTGTGAAAGTAAAACTGATGAGTATCGTTGGCTAGAATGTCGAGCCAACCAACCTTGCTCTTCAGGGTCGGTCTCTCGGCGTTTCCTATGGCATACCTTTAAAAAGCGCGAAATATCGGGGTAATTCATTGTATCCAGAGCAATGTTTTAAAATGTACGGTATGTAATTCGAATCACAAAATCTTCAACTAATAACAAATTTGCGATAAAAGGAGGTGGATTGCCCACAGTTTTAGTTAAGATAAAGTTAACTTTAACTTGATTGAAGAGATACACTATAGTAACACTTTAAAAAGATCAATTTTTTTAAATTTTCCAAGATTAATATTGTTCAGACAATTTATAGACATGTATGTGTGTGTTATTAAATACTAATTTTTCATAAAATAATCTAATAATATTAAAACTTTGAACATGTATTTTTTAAATAATTTTTTTCAAGTAGCGACATCGATCTATAATTCAAACAATTTTCGATTGATTGATTTCAATTTTTAAAAGAGCAGCTTCACAAAATAAATAGTTTCGGTTAAGTTTTTTTTAATTCTTCATTTCTGAAGACGAAATGTTTTAAAATGAAATGATCAAAATGTAGTGAAATTTTAAAGTTTCTTTTTCAAATCGTTGCTCCATTGTGGAAAAAATTATTTAAAAAATTCCTACGTTTAATTGAAATTACACTCACATAGTTTCAGAAATTTTCAAGAATTTTTCATTTCACATTACAATTTAAGTTTTCTATGTCACTAATGAACCGCATTTTTTAGATTTTTTTGGATTGTTCTTTGGATTTGAAACATAGGAGTCTAAATTCTGTGCAACACACGTTGCCATATATTTATATATTAACATAAAAGAATTCTTAAAATATCTTCAAAAGTGTATCTAATCAATATATTAATTTATATTTTGTATCTAAATTTTATATAACATGACGCTTCGCTTGTTTTAGCGCTGAGACCGTGTTTTCTAATTACAATATTTTTTAAAAAATCACAAAAAATTTTTCTTTAAATCTGTAACGTACCTTTTAATCCTATATTATTTACGTAGTTTTTTTTAATATAATGCGTGGATTTTTGAATATATATGTATATTCTATTTTTATTGTTCTTTTTTATTATTTACTATTAAATGAAGATTAATAACATTTCATACATCTATTAGATAAATTTAAATACAAAATTTTCTAAAATTGTGAAATAATTATGCGAAATATAATGTATATAAATAGCATTCATTTAGCAAATTTATATATAAAGCCGGATACTTGTCCTGGATACTTCACATGAATAATAAAGAGTTAAGAAAGTTATAGCTAAGGAAAGTTTAATACTTCGTACGTGTTACGAATTAAAGACGTTGTATTTCCGAAGATATACAGATGATATCACTCACCATATACACGCCATCCAATGAGCAATAAGGGCAAAAGTGGCCATTAAAAGTAACAAAACGGCAGCGCCATATTCGCTGTATCTGTCGATCTTCCTGGCCACTCTGACAAGGCGCAGCAGACGAGCCGTCTTCAAAAGTCCGATCAAGGTCGTCGTCTGAAAATGATAGATCATTTTTTCTATTTTTTGAATATGTGAGCCCGCGAACCTCAGTCTCGCTATACAGAAATCGGCCTTATTTAACGCTGTCCATCACTTAAATGATTGATATTTCTTATGATCTTTTATTTTCATAAATCTTCATGGAATTGTTCAAGCAAAAATGAAACGTGCCTTTGCAACATGACGTGTTTTTGTTTGCATAAATAACGTTTATATTATATATAAAATTAATTAAAAATATTTCGGAGATGCACTAATAATTTTTTTTTCTTTTTCTTTTTTGCAGAGACATAATTACTTTTCATAAATTAAAATCATAAGGTTTGCCGTAAGTATATGACAGATCTGTCATTTCCATTAAACGTCAATATAAACAGACATTTACTTGAAACCTAATTATCTGACATTTACGTAAAGGCCATTTCCGTGTTGGAAGTGTCACTCTCGCCGGAAATCGTCACTTCAATTGCACATCAATCGCTGAAGCCGGAGATCGTGGTTCGTCGGAATATCACGGTACGATACGCGCGTGACATTTCGTCGAGTTCCAAATACCAAAGTTGAAGTCGTTGTCTTCACGTCATGTTATTTCTTGCTACCAATCGCAAAGCCGGCATTCGAGGACCGATTTTTCAATAAGTTTGAAAAGCGAGAAAAAGATTTTCAATGATTTTCCAGCGAGAATGGATGATATTATTACCGCTTTTTTAAGGATACCTTTCAGGTAAAGTGACGACCTCCTTGTTGCGGAGTTAGTTGTCATATTCGTAAGTGAGGTCGAGTTTCGATTCGAGTCACTTACGTCCTTTTTTTCTACATAGTTTTAAGAAAAATGAAAACTTTAAATGATTGAAATATATTAAACTGTAGTGCGAGCACTCTTGATATATCCAGCATGAATAAAGTATGATATAATTACAAATTGGCTGACAAGCACAATCGCCGAAATAAAAAGAAAAGCTAGTCATTGAAATATGATAATCTGCGATTGTGTATGTGTGCATTAGCTGTAAAAAAAAATTATCTGGCATGAACCGACATATTCATGCTTTTCCTCTTCTTACCTGCCAAAAATGCAAAAGCTTTCAATTAAAAAAGGCATTTGTAAAATCATGCAAACGATTATCATGCGATGTGTTCCAGTCGAAATAATTTTCAATATCATTTCGTGTGCGTTTAAAGCGAAGCTTTGAAGGCGATATAATAATTTAAAACAAAGAAATGTATTTTTCGAACTTGAAGTTTCTTAATTCACACGCGACTTAATGCACGTTTAATTACAAGAGAGAACAAAGCGCATAAGCGATAGAAACATATAATCATACATATACGAAAGTTCTTAAACGTATAACAATTGAGGAGGCAATTGTACAAAGAAGATAGATATAATATTACAAAAGTTAGTTTATTTATCTTCAAATCTATAAGAAAAAATCTGATATAAAAATTTAGTCAATCTGTAACAGGAACACACTAATTTTTTTGACACTAAAGAAACATAATAAGTTCTTGGAAATTCTCATTAAAAATTTTTATTATTAAAACAAAATTAGCAATAGATTCGTGCTAATAAGAGTAATGACGCAGTAACTTAAACATTTCATATACAGAATGTACTCATAATTCGTGACCGAAATTTTAATAACATATACCTGACTTAAAAATAAAATAAAAATCCTAATACCAAATTTTGGTCACGTTTGTGGGACACTGTATATTTATATTTAATAAACAATGATCGAACATTTTGCTCATGAGCTGAGGATGATTTAAATGTAACCGAAACGTTCGACATTATGTATTAAATATAAATATATATAAATTTATGTTCAAATTATTGCGCCATTATTCTCATTAATCCCCCAAAATCTATTACTAATTTTGTTTTAAATTGAAAATACTTAAAAAAGTAAATAATCAGAGTTAGGCTTTTGAGATATTAAAACAATATTAAAAGGAAAAATGGGCAGCTAGGAGCTAGAAGATCCTATAACCAGAGTATGACGAAAGCGGGCACAACTTCTGATTGGTTCTCCACCTTGGCCCACTCGGTATTCTTCGGATAGCTTCGTACATTGTCGAAAAACGAATACGAAGAAAAAAAAAGAGATAGCTACAAGCACATAAGTAAAACCTGTGTCAAAGAGGTTAGAAATCATTCCGAGATCTCGGATAAAAAGAAAATTAACAAATTATAATTCGGTCAATTGATCAACTCGATTGGTTTCTTCAGATATTGTCACGTATTACTTATCATATATGCATATTCTAACACTTTTTGCGCACGCGAATTTCATACGAGAAAGCAATATCTGTTATCTCTTTCTATCTGTCATTTTTGGTCCACATTTGCCAAACCACTAACGAGATACTATTAAAGACCGACATCCTTACAGGAATTCGTGTCCTTGTGAATATTAAAGTAATTAAGAATTAAAAACTGATAATATTGTATTAATTTTATGATTTATTAGTTTCGTAGACGTAATTATATTTATACTCAATAATACTCGATTTTTCTTTAAAATTGTGATTTCAGTATTATTGTCAAAATTTGATTCTCAACAGAGATGATAATCGCAGAGAAAAAAATTGTCATTTTTCTGCAATATATAGAATATTATAGCTTCACAAGTATGCATATTTATTTGTGGAACATTTATGTAATAAAAAATCATGAATTTAATAATGTATGAGCCAAATATTTATATTAATAATAATAAATTTGTATCAATTGTCGATAATGTCAGCGTTCTTCGATTATCTCCGGGTCTTGGGGCTCTTTTTATACCATCGAAAATTTGCCGTAGGATTACGGTCTTTATTAGTATCTCGTCGGTGGCTAAATTCTGATTATAGGATCTTTACTAAGAGTTTTAAAGCGCGGTAGTTAATGCGATTATATTATCAACAAGTTTCAATTCTTAGATATAATGATCGAACGTTTCAATTCGAGTCATCTTCAGCAGTCTTGCATAATTTAAAGATTCTTGGAACAACATTAAGTAATCGTAAACATAGTATCAGAGTGCACTTTATTTAAAGCTCTTAATTGCCTGTTTTTTCTTTTAATATTGAAAATATTTATTATTATTTTATTATATTCTTATTATATTTTTTGTTATCAGTTTTATTTTTTTATGTAATTTTATTTTTCACAGTTTTGAAAACTCTAAAAAAATAATTTTATATTGTAAAATTATTTCAAATCATTAGTATTTAAAAATTTGGAAAAGTCCTAGAGTCAACCTATATGTTCTAATTAAATTATGTTCAGAAATTTAGTTCAGATACATTCAGATATCGTTTTATCCTTATTTAACATTCGACGAACAATAAGGATGAAATGGTATCTGGATATATCTTGATAAAGTGAGTTTCTGAACGCGATCTTATGGGATAAAATTCGAAATGAAGGATAATTAATTTGGAAAAAGCTGACTTTCACGAAAAACAAAATGGTAAAAAAATATTAAACTTTCATTATTCGCTTGCTCTTTCAATCGTTACAAATATGGAACGTAAAATTCTGTCAAAGCGTACGAATGAAAACACCCACGCACATACATACATTAACCGGGAAAAATCCGTCGGTTAAAAAACTTTTCGTTTTTTTAGATTGAGTACAATCACGATCTTGTATAGCTTGCAACAGAGATGTAATAAGATATAAAAGAAGCTCGAGAACAGAACGATAAGACCAATAGAATATTGGAACAAAATCGAGAGAGAAGAAATAGCTGAAGCATATACGCGCAGTTGCTGACGAAATCGCGATGAGATATTTCCAATCGAAGTATTCTCATCATACATGTATATTACCATTGCTATTCACGATTATACGCATTTACTCGTGTACAGTTTGTAACAGATTGTGTGCGTGTTTTTGTGTGTTCAATTCATATTTTATGAAATTTTATTTTAATTCCCAAAAAAATGATTCGACATATTTTCTTACTTGTGAAAACATTCTCAATTACCCTTCCAAATCCGTCAATATTTCATAAAATCATGATTAATAAAAAATACTCAGATATATGTACTGTTTAAAATTGATGAATTAACGAAAGCATGTGTGTTGTATGATGTTCAAATGCTTTCCCGTGAATCCGACAAAAGCGGATCAGACAAAACTGAGAAACGATCATAAGCAATTATATTCGTCCTGCAACTTTAAATATAGCGATTCGCGCTATATTTAAGCGAGTAAAACAAGCTTAACGTTAATTTACTTGCTAAATCAAATTCGACAAGCTGGAAGCAAGAAAACTAAAAATCATATATAAATAAAGTACTCGTCGCATATTTCATCGTAATCGTGCACTCAATATACGTAGTTTCGAAGTTTCATATGTGGTGTCTAGAAAATATCTAATAAAAGAATAAAAAAATTAATTATAATTTTCATCAGATATTGATAGCACGAAATTGTTTTTATTTCATACGATAAATCAACGATAACAACAATTGACAATAAAAATTTTTCGATTTAGGGTTGCTACAGAAAATGAACAGTAAAATTCTTTGACTTTTCCAGATTTTCTAGATAAAAATGGACAATTTCCATGATCAATATAAAATATGTAAAAATTTTAACATTATAAAATATGTAAAAAATTTTAACATTTAGAATCAAGGATTACAGGAAAGCTATTATAGTTTATATTATTAAAAATACAAAAGAAGCTTAGTAGTATAATAAAATTTTGGAGGCAAATTCAAGTCAAGAAAAAATGAATTAGTATTAGAAAAAAGAATGCAATTATGACGAAAAAGGGCGATCGTATAAAATATAAATTTTCATTATTTTTTAAAAATTATTTAAAGTATACGAGTTTTGAATAAATTTGACAATAAACGTCAGATACAATATTTAAACAATTAATAAAAATTATTTGGAATAGGAGCAATTTAAGGGAATTGTGAGCAAAGTTCAAAATTTCCGGTTTTTCACGACCAATTTCAATTTCCCTGACTTTTACCGGTTTTTCCGATTTTTCAGATCTGTAGCAACCCGATTGTTAGAATTCAAACTTTTGCTGCAACTGAAAACTAAACGCGCGCCTGTGCCAATGCGCAAGATCAGAGTTTTACTTTTACATAACTGAATATTAATTCAGTCTTTTATGTTCAATCTTATGTAAATTTCGAGAATTTGCATTGGCGCAGACGTGCATCCACTTATCAGTTGTAATAAAATTCAAATTCTAATATATTACCGATTTTGCGAGAACGCGCAATGATACAAACGTACAAGCCGCAATGCGCTTTGTATACATAAACGATGTAAATTTTACAAATCTTGCACGAATGGCGAGTTAATAAAAAGCGAATCATCATGATTTCATACAATATTTCAGAAAAAAAACCATGCACTTTAGTAATTTTAGTATATCGTACATGTGAGAATAGAGTTGATGAAAACCCTGCCATCTCGCGTGACAGTTTATTGTATCTTTGGAAACGGAAGAAAGCAAGAATTTATTGAAGGAAACTCGAGCAACGATTTGCCATCAACTTTATTCAAACTTCCTCGGCATAAGATGGGGTTGCAGTGATCGAGTGAGGTGTTTGGTACGTGTGGCGAGTCGCGTGAAGATTCTTGATCGTCGAGATGATATCGCCGAGAAGGGATGGTTGATATTGCAAGAGAGACGGTGCTGAAAGTATTTAAGATGTGTAATATGTGTTTAAGCGGTTTGTACATGAGAAAAAGAGAAAGAGGGAGTAGAGTGACAGAGAGAGAGAGAGAGAGAGAGAAAAAGAGAGAAGAAATTAATAGAAAAAACTCGTGATTGCGGTGGTGATCTTAATCGTTTGGTGTGTGAAAACGGTGTGGATTGTAATCTTCATTAAGTAATAATGAAAGAAAAGACACGTTAGTGAGGATCTCTTGTGTATATTATGTGTTAACTAACCTCGTCCTTGTCCAAGCCGAGCTACGAAAATGTTAAACTAAGGTTAAAATTTGTTCTTTTCACATTATGAGGATGATTTATAATTTCACTTTTCAGATCGTTATGATTAAGCGTTCCGCTTAAAATAGGAGTAAGAAATTCATACGCATTCTAGATTCGTTTCACTTCTGAAACAAATTGCCGAGATGGATGACTTTATATTATAATAATTACTTCGTTACGGAAACTGGCCGATCGGGGATGCAAATGATATTTTGGTCTCTCTTACAGAAGCACGATAAATTAAATTAATTACACCCTATATAGACTACCTTCATTACCCACCGGTATCGTTCACACAAATCGAGGGGAGAGAGAAAGAGAGAAAAAGAGAGAGAGAGAGACAGAGAGATAAATAAAGACCTTGTAAGAGAAGTTTCATAAGAAACTCATAAGAGAAAATCGAAAAGAATCACTTAAACGAACAAAAAAAAAGAAATGATAAAAAAAGTAGAAAAAAAAACTTTGACGAAAACCTGATATATGTATAGTCTAATACTTTGACAATCAGAGCAGAAATTTTCACAGCGACAAACTATATTTACTTACATATTTATGAAGAATGTATGCATACGTGTGCGTACAGGTACGAGTCAGTTCAAGACAAAGGGATTGTTCATCTATATCAAATTACGCACGTCGCATCTCGTAATACGCAACTTTATGATTGACATAATTAGCACTAAACGTGGCATAGTTACTTGTCGGTGAGTTCAGCTATAATTCTGTCTGTTAACACGAATTTGGATGTAGAAATGGAGAATCGAGCCTCGCTATATGATTGATCTATGACGCACGTGTAGCACACGTTCAACGTTGTGTAAAATCGTTCCAGACAGCGAGAAGCCATTAGAACATCTCGCCGCCCGTACGTATACATTGTGTGCACATTAATACGACGACTCGACTAACTCTCGACAAAGGAAAACGAAATCATTCAACACCGAGAAAAATGGTCGAAAATAGGGAGAAACGAACTAAGCACCAGTCCGGTAAAGTCACATCTATGGGCACGTAACTTGGACTCGGCATGTCATCCTAATCATATTTACCAGCTAACACCGACATTCTAGAAAGTTTTGTCTGACAATCTGGCATTCACGAATCCGTTTTTTTTTATATTCTAATTATCTTTGTTGTTTCTGTTCTGATTTGTTTGAATTTAAGGATATGTATATACAAATAATGTAATCTATTAAAAATATGAAGTACAAATTTTTTATATAATTTCATTTCCATAACTTTGAAGAATTCATAAATGATAGTATAATCGGGATAAGATGTGATCTCTTGAACACCAGATTCGACTTGATAGAAAGATGATCTAAGATAATACAAAGCGTGCGACGAGACTTACCTCGTCAGTGTCCGAGCCGACGAGTAGGAGGTCGAAGGGAATGGCAGCTACCAAGTCGATGATGAACCAACCCTTCAGGTAATGGACGGCAATTTTACCAGGGTGGGAGACCACCTCATCGTTGCTGTTGACGAACGTCGTGCGAAAATTTATGATGATGTCCACGATGAATGTGACATCAACTAAAAAAATATATAAATAAATTGATATATTCAAAAGAAATCAATAACTTTTTAATACTTCTATAATTGTAAAATATATTCTATCATATAGATTTGTAGATATTTCTCATACACAAGGAATGGAAAGTTACTTTTTAAAAGTAACAAGTTACAGTAACTATTTATTGATTTTTAAAAATAATTCGTTGTAGTTATCAACCATTCGTTACTTGAGAAAGTAATTCTTTGTTACTTTTCCATTACTTTTTTAAAATCGATGACCACCAATTACAGCGGACGTGCCTATCCATACAGCAAACTTGTAGCAACATTGCTGCAATATTTCAATGTTGCACATTGCAATACAATGTTACAGAAACATTGCGAAGACTTCTTTTTGCAATATTACTTCCGCAATGTTGCAGCATTATTTTAAAAATATTTTCAGCAAGAGACACAAATGGACACAAGAGTCATCCTGCCCTTGTTCGATAATCAGTAAGAAACAAAGACAAAATGATTCGATTTGTGCCTCTGCTGGAAAGCTCGCTTTGAGTGTTAAGACTTGTATATATCGATTTGTTTATAATAAAATAAGAATCTACATATAATGGAAGAATAGGAATTAATGATCACGTTTACATGGCACACTTAATCGGGTTTAATAACATCTGTAGTTATGAGACTGATCAATCATAGCTATATTCCTCGAAAGAATGGAATGACTGTGATTGGATAGTTTCTAACTTTTAACGAATGTTATTAAACCCGATTAAAGTCGATTTCCACTAATGTAAATTAATTTTAGCTCCGGTTGCTTATTTTCCGTTTTTTTCTAGTTTTGAAGATTAAAAAACATGATAACGGACATAAGAGTGTATAAACGTAGTCTACACTAGAATTGTGTCTATAATTTATAGACATAAATAAAACAATTAGTAATAAACAAGAAATAAAGATTAAATATAACGCACAATGGATACAATCATAAGATATAAGACATATAAAGTATAGACATAATTAATTATGAAGTCATATTTTATTTGTATCTATTGTACGTTACATTTAATTCCTATTTCTGGATTTTTTTATATTTAAATTTATACAGTACGAAATATTATAACAAATATTACATTAACAATATAATATTACAGCAATGTTGCTGCAATTTTACTGCATTATTACAATGTTTCTGCAATATTGCTGCAAGTATTCCTCCATTGTGCACAAAATCTAATATTGTATTAGGTGCGCAACTAAGTTCTCGCTGTTATTTTGATGCAAATGCCATGAAAATAAGCGAGAACTTAGTTGCGCACCTAATATATATTATGTTTTAATATTGCTGCAACATGACGTATCAATATTTCTGAAACGGACATTTTAACGTTGCTGCAATGTTGCTAAAATATTTTACAATGTTGCAATTTTGCAGTGAAATAGTTTTGCAATGTTACTGTAATGTTTCTGTGCTGTACGGGTAGGGGCTTTCTAGTCTCAAGCGCTATGAGTGGCTTGTGTTCCATCGAACCATGTCCAATCGTGTGCAAAGTAATGATAAAAGTAATTGTAAAATTTGTTACTGTTATAAAAAAAATGTAATTTTTAAAACTACGTTACCGTTACCAAAAAAAAGTAACTCAGTTATCAGAAAAGGTAACTGTAACTTTGTTATAAGTAACGAGTTACTTCCATTCTTTGTTTATATTGGGTATGGGAATAAGTTTTCGCTCTTTTTTAATGAAAAAGATGTATTTATTTAAACAAAATAATACAAAGTGAGTTCGTTTGAAGTATACTCTATCGAAAGCGACAACTGTCTCCCACCTTTTAGATAATAAATGGATTCCTCGAAGAAAGAAATCTGATTCTTTTGAAACAATCCATTTATCAATCCATTTTTTCATATCTTCATAAGAATTGAATCGCTCTTCACAAAGAGCCGACTTTATGGACCGGAACAAATAGAAATCTGAAGGAGTAATGTCCGGTGAATACGGCAGGAGGTGGGACAGAATTTTCCACTTCACTCCTTCCAAGTATTTCTTGACCGGTTTTACAATGTATGGCCTAGCATTGTCATATAATAGAATCAGCTCATCGTGCCTATTGTCTTATTCCGGTCATTTTTGTTTCAAAACTTGGTTCAAACAAATCGAACGAATGTTAACTACTGGGCTCAAAAGCTTGAACTCACACCTTTCAAATACATGTATTGCCGTTTTATCAAACACACAAGCAGTACTACTAACGACACATTTCTCTAATGGACCTTATTCTCATAATAAAAATTACATTCTGTCATATAATCTATTATATATCTCACTTTTATCAAAGGAAACCATCTTAATCTTCATTTTATTTCTATATTTCAGTGATATCGAGTGTTACATTTTTCAAAGTTTTAATAAAAGCCGATCTTTGAAGCGAAATAATGTCAGATAGCATCTTCAGACTTGTTCATTTGAACATTTCTCCGATTTCTTCTTCATTTGTTCTATTCCCGTATTACTATCTCTTTTCCGTTCTATTGTTTCAGACACTCGTGGCACGTGTTATCCTACATTGTATGAAATGTCATACAGTGCTACTCGAGTGTCAATATCAAATTCAAAACTTAATATTCTAAAAGCCAGTTTTATCTCTCAAATAATAATCTCTCAAATAACTTTTATACGTATAATATTTTGCTTATTTCAATTACAGAATTTCGTTTTAGTGAAATTCTAATTTCACTCACTGAAAAGTTGAACTAAGGCAACTTTAACTCATCTTATTGTTAAATTAACCGAAAATAAAAGTTACGCTGAAACCTTATACTATAATAGCACGCGATTCGAGAGTCTAAACGTTATAACGAGGTTGCCCTATTTCATTCCAAAACAATAAAATTTAAGATTTTAGTGGATATTATTACTCCTCACTTATGCTACTCATAGCACGGAAAGGATTTGTCGCATTATTTCGAGATTCGCTATTACGAGATTCCAGTGTATTATCACTATTACTATTATAATTGCAAATGTAATAATCTCTTATAATAATCTCTCAACGTCCTTACTTTATCTATTTCTATTATAGAATTTCACTCTAGTTTTAAAAAGTTAAGTTGAGGCATCTATTAAATAATTTCTCACTATTAAAAGATGAAAATTATTATTATCGCTGCTATCATAATTGCATTTGTAATAGACATATCCTTATTTAGTATACGTAACTGCTTATTTTTATTTTAATTATTTCTATTATAAAATCTATCTCTAGTCCCGAAAAGTTATGGCAATTATTAAACCATATCACTATTAAAATTAATCGACATAAAAGCTAATTATTATCACTGTTATCATAATTACATTTGCAATTATAATAGTAATAGTGATAATACACTGGAATCTCGTCGATGTCTTTATACTTTATTTACTTCTATTATAAATTTCATTCAAGTCTCGAAATGTTGAGAGAGAGAGAGAGAGAGAGAGAGAGAGAGAGAGAGAGAGAAAGAGAGAGAGAGAGATGTGGCAACTATTAAACCGTCTCACTATCAAATTAACCGACAAAAGATATCTACTATGGTTACTACTATGATAATTGTACTTGTAACAATAATCAATGTCCTGATCAATATCCTTAAATTATTTTGGAGTATTATTAATCGCACAATTTTAGACTAAAAATAAAATAATCAACTTTAGTGTAATGACTCACCTATAAAGTCTATAATAACGATGGGGTCATCACTGTACTTCTTGTTCTTTCTGCTGTTGTAATCCGGATCCGATAGAACAAAGGCGGCGACATACGGCGTAAATATGGCGGTGTACATCACGAGTAGTAATATAATCCAATCCCAGACTGCCTTGAACGGCGAGTAGTGTAATATGGTCCACTTATGGATTCTGGGGGACTGTAATTTGTACGCCGGGAGAATGTCTGCTCCGAGGGACAGCACCTGCGACAGACAATATTGAAATTTTGAGATAAGATCGCATCATTTCTTTCTCATTTTTTCACTCCAAATCATAGAGTGAAATATTTCATAAAATACTATCCGTCGAAAAGGAAGTCTCCATCGTATTATACGATATAAATTTAACGTGGTTCGATAGAGTGTTTTATATGTCACGTTTCAGAGAGATAACAGAAAATTTCCCATCAATACGTCGTTTATGTACCTCACGACGAACGTTCCGGTAACATTATCAGACATACGTGGTGTAACGTTGCTACCAGCTCAATATTGTTCGTGCTAAATTGCATTGCGAATAAAATACACTTATAGAGCGCCGCGCGTGGAACATGAGCGGCCTTTCACATCTCTTACATGATACACTGAAGAAGAAGCGACTGCAAGACTGTTGTTTGCTTACACGTCTAGTACAGAAGCGTTTCAAATTATTTATTATAAACTCTCTGCCATTTAACCGTGCGCGGTTCACCGAGAATTGATTGAAAGATTGATGAAGACATAATAAATCGATGATAGGAGATCTGCCCAAGGGGGATAAGTTATGCCAAAATTTCCCGTACATCCATTTCGTCAACCCGATCCGGCTGGTGGATGAAAGTAGATCTTTCGAATCACGCTGCTCCACATTTCCGAGAACATCGCCACTAAAGCTGGTGAACTCTTCCCGGTTGAGTTGTTACTCCCTATTGTCTTCCGAACAATTCGCTGATGTTTGAGGGTGTTCGCGCAAGGGATTATCGTCACAAGTGCCAGGCGAGTGAGCTTAAAACACCTGGCTTCGTGCTCGAGCGGGAGCTTATTCACTTAGTTCGCTGTCGTAATCCGCAATTCTTTCAAAGCTTCGTACTTGGTTCCGTCATAATACCGAATAATCGTCGCCAAGCCGCGATATAAATCGTGAAAAACGATCGCGATTTGCATGTAATATTCTGCGCCGAACATACGGCATCGGAAGAAATGCTAGAAATGTCAATCTACCTACGAGAGCGATCACTATCGGTCATCGAATAAAAATTTTTAAATGCGTAACTTCGTGAATTGAAGGGCGCGATGAAATGGACCGGGAGCTCTTCTGAAACACGAGCAATATTTCGAATTATCGATCCCACGCGGCGCTCGGAATCGGGGACGCTTGTTTATGGCGCGCGAGGACGTGGGAAGAACCGGAAGAGTACCGTCGGAGCGCCAGTTTAACACTGATGCAATGCGGCCCGACGAAGGGAGGCGTTCGTTCGATTGGCTCGGGGTTGGCTGGCTAGGTATCCGCTCACGAGAAGCGATATGCAGGTTAAGGTAGCACCGCTGTCACACCCTTAACCAGCATATTTTGGTCCGTGAAGTGTCGGAGGTACAACACTGAGCCGCTGAGAGTCTTCCCTTTTCGGTCTAATCTAACAAGAATTAGCTCCGGAGTTCGATAACGGTAACCCGCACTCGAGAGGCTCGTAACACGAACTGACGATCCTATCCTGGGCAAAGTCGTAGTTTACTCCCTCTTTCTTCATCCCCCTGTGCTGGTTGATTTATTATTATCAACCCCCCGACGGATAAGCGACCGATAAGCTGATAAAAATGGAAAATAGGATATTGCTGATGGGGATATCATTATTTACCATCACGTTACTGGTATCTTATGGTGACTCCGAGTATTTACTAACGCAATATTTACTCAAAAGAATCTTATTGGACCAATATTTACTAACACTTTGTTCTGTACTTCCGTATATTCGAATAAAGTTTCGAATTGCTGTAATTTAGTCTACTTTAAATTTACTATTTTATCAATTTCTGCTCAATTTCTGTTCAATTTTTCTCTTCTTTATTAATTATTTTAATTATTATAAGTCTTTATTGGTTTTTATTTATTATTTACTTTTCCTACTTCTAAGTAATAATATGTTGCTGCATATTCATTTTAAAAAATTTAGCATATATTTTCCTAGATTAAAAAATTCGATTCGATTTTTTATTAAACTTACGCAATTGTCATCGAATTTTGATCTTGGAGCAACGCGATTGTACTTTATACACTTTGATCTCATCCAATTTATTAGACGTTCAACATCCAATAAAAAGTAAATCCATTTCGCTACAAATATTTTTAAAAAGAAGGTTCAGGATAGTTCGCTAGTTTCTTCTTTAGCTTCTTTATCGATTTTTTATTATCAGCTTCTATCTGGTAGAAAGCGTGTACTCGGGCGGGTCAGGGAAGGGCGAAATAGAAACTCGCTGGTTGGCTCGTCAGAGACAGCCGCGAGAATGTAAATTCAGGTAGGTCATGTTTTATTCATGCGCCCGATGTTAGGTGAGAAGGATCGCGAGAACGACCTCATTCCAATGACCCGAAGTTATTGCAATACTTTGTGCCGTCCTTTATTATTTTAAACTACAAGGGATCTTTTTCTGGTGAAACGAATTCCGAAAACACATGCCATCTAGTTTAATAAATGCATCGTAAAAATAGCATCAATTTTTTCTTCAAAATTAATATTTATTAATGTTTATCTTTGTATTATTTTTTCTTTAATTCTCCACAGTTGACAATGGATATACTAGACTTATTCAGTTATAAATTTTTTGTCAAACATGTCAAACAATTCAATTTTCTGTTGTTACATCTGCAAAAATTTAAATTATTTTTATTAAAATATATTCAGTATTCATTTTTTCAAAATATTGGATATTATACGAATTTAATTGGTTCTTCGAATTAATTAGTATCTTTTAAATAAATTAAATGAGGTAGCATCGATAACTGCGTTATAGATTTTAACATCAACCACGGAGGATTAAGTTTCGTCAATTATCTTCTCTAAATACTGGAATAAGTTCCAAATACAATGTTAAATAAGTAATTTATCAAATGGCGAAAAAAATGAAGAGTCAGAAAAGAATCTTTTAGCATAATAATTGAAATTTATTACTCGATGAATTATTATGAGGATGTTTGTGTGAAATTCCCTCTCAATTTAAGACACTTCATTTGGATGTAATGGAGATGAAGTAATCGAACATACGAAAGAGGATGAGGCGGATAGCATTAGCTAGTTACCACGCGCCATGACCTGGAATTATTGAGTAACTATCGCGTTACGTGATCATAATCTACCAATTACGTTCAACGAACCAGGAAAAGTAGCCAAGAAATAAGTAGCGCGAAAAATATTAAAGCGTAATGACACAAAATTGATTTTCTTTCAAAAATTCTGGTATCACCCACGTCACAACGTTGCGTTGTAAAAGGGATTCGCAAAGACTTTTGATGTGAAATCGAAGCGAAGTCTTTAAAACTTTGTGCGGTGGCAAAATAATCGCGGAGACAAAAAAAAACGGGCGCATAACTCCGACAAATTTCAGAGTACTTCTGAAAGTCATACAATAGTTAATTCGCTTTACGATAGGTAATTCGCGATTCCTTTACGATGGCCCGACTTCTCTACGGTCGTATTTAATATTTGCAGACACATGGCGGACTCATTTCTTGTGTAAATATGTACCCGACGTATACAAGTAAAATATATTTGTAACTTCTGTAGCGATAAGAACGCTTTTAAAGTAACTTTTAGAATCCCCGTGCACAAAGCTTGGAAAATACTCTTTGAGTTACGTAAATAATGACCTCGTGTAACAAATATAGTGTCGCACTAGTAAAACAGGAAATTTAAGCGTCGCATTCAAAATCACTTTTTAGCGATGAAAATAAAACTATAGTTACTGATTATGCTAATTTTATATTGAAGCGTTTCTTGAATATGATGGCGTTTCGTAAATACTATAAGTCACCTAAAATTAGGTGGGATTTATCCTGAACTAATTTGATCAAGCGAGACAATGACGTTTGCCATATGGATATTCCACGCAGTTGAACGTGTATTTTCGTCACGTGAACGACGCGTTTTGACGTGCTAGCTTGAAAATGAGTCACGTCGGCGACAGCGCGGAGTTGTAATCCGTTTTAACGGAAAGAAAGCTCCTGTCAAAGCTCCTGTTATCGCTCCTGAGATATACGGCCTCGTAATGCATAACGGGTCAGTCCGATGAGTGCGTCTGTTGGATTTGCACCGCAATATTACGATCGATACCAAGCGGAACGTACGCACCATTCTATTGCAAATTGGACGAGCATGTTCGTCACTTGATAGCCCTGATAAACGTGAATAAACAACGTGAATAGATTAAGATGATATGTGAGAGAGAAATGTATATAGATATCGTGAAAGTAAACTCGGTAAAACACGAATTGCGTCGTTGAAATACTAATCCGATTTTATCACTGTAATATTTAAAATTATATAAACAATAATAATTAAATATACAGATTTGCATTAAGAATTTAAACCGCAATATTGACAAATAAAAATATTAAATAACGAATTTTTATCAATATTTGTTTCTCAACAAATTATAGTTGTATTTTGTAGGGCTTTTTACATTGAAAAAAAAATACGTTTTTCAAGAAATTTTATCAGTCTTCAATTTTTATATAACTACAAGAAATGTTTACAATAAATATTTGTTTATAATATACGCAAATAAATGTAATAATATAATCTCTTTTATTGTTTATGTACAATTTCAATTTTATATCAAAGGTTTACACACTGGATTTACAGAGTTTCTATTTTTCAACAACTGAATGATGATTCCTATTTTACTCCGTAAAATAAAAGAAAAAAGTTGTAAATTATTTAATTTTGTAGAATTTTTTGAAAAATAAAGTTCTGGATTTCTCAAAATAATTGATTTTAACAGAGGTGCCAAGAGATTTGCCGTGTGTATCTATTGCTAATGTCAACATTTCGTGAATCTTGCCGTTCTTTACTTCATCAGAGTAAGGATACATTGATATAAAGTATAGTAAAGTATAGTAAAGTCTGTTGGCTTAGCAATGAATCGACGATAACTCGCAAACTCTTTGGCTCTCTGAAGAAAATACTCGTGAAAGTCTCAAAATAAGTATTGTAAAGATTCAATTTCAACTT